GGTCGGGACCGGGGCCGGGGTCGGGGCCGGGGCCGGGGTCGGGGCCGGGGCCGGGGCCTGGTCGGCAGCCAAGGCGAGGGGCAGAGTGGGAGCCGGGGCGGGAGCCAGAGGCGCCGCCTCCAAGTGGCCCGGGCGTGGGGTGGGAGGGCGGGCCACGGGCAGCGGCGTTAGCTGGAGCACGGGCGGCTGTGGTGTCGGCGGCGGCGCGGGAGGCGGCGTGGGTGGTGGCGTGGGCGGCGGCGGCGGTGGTGGCACCTCCTGTGGGCCTCCCGGCCCTGGGCTCACAGGCTCGCCATTGGTGGGCGCCGGGAAGATGAACATAGGCGGCGCCAGCAGGGCCGGTGCAGGCCTCCGGGGCCCGGGAGCTGGGTGCGTCTGCCCTGGCGGAGGCGGTGGGGAGCCCCAGGGCCCTGAGAGCGCGGCCGCCCGCCGTCGGGGCACCCCGACACCGCCGCCGGCTCCATTGAAACGGAAGTGGCGTTCGGGGCCGTCGGGAGGGCTCACCCAGTCAAATTTGGGCTTCGAGCCTGGAAAGGTGGTGTACGGTGGCGGCGGAAGGGTCCTGGCGTGGGACACAGGCGCCGAGGGGGGTCCAGAACACCCCTCGCGGTCTCCATCACCGCCTTCTGCTTCCTGAGTCCCCCGAGGGACCTCTCCCGAGGGTCGAGCGGCCCGAGGGGCCAGGGGCCCCTGCTTCAGGACCTCAGCGTAAGAGATGGAACCCGAGGCGGCAGCGAAGAGTTCTCCGCCTCCGCCGCCCCTGAGCGAGGCTTTGGCCGCTAAGGAACTCGAGGCTGCCGGAGGGGCCAAAGTGGGCCCCGACTTGAAGGTGACTTTACACAGCAGACTCAAGCCGGACTCGGAGACCGTAGGCCGGGCCATTTCGCCCTCGCCCGCTTGGGGAGGCGCCCCTCTGCGGGCTCCAACGGCCGTCTGGCCCTCGCTGCCGTACCCGACCTGGCTTTCTGTGGGGGGTCTGGCGGGTGTGGCCAGAGCAGGAATGATTCTGTGGTCCGGGGGCTGCCGGTCGGAAGGTGGCGGTGGTGGCAGCTTCCGCGGCTCCAAGGGCGGCTGAGTAGGGGATGGGGCCCTCGGGATAGAGCTGGGGTCCTCTCCAGTTAGTTGCCGGGGCGGCGGCGGCAGCGGACGGAGGCTCGGAGGATCGCCCTGGCCGCGATGGCTCGCCTCCAGCAGACCGCGGATCCGGGGCACCGGAGTGCCTGTGGGTTTTCGCCACTTAGACGGCGCGGGCAGCAGGGTCCCCACGGGGGGCGGGGGTGGTGTGGAGACCGCGGCCGCAGCCGCCTCCTCTGAAAGGGGCGTCACTGGCGAGGGCAGTTGTAAGGTCAGGGGTAGGGGCGAGGTTGAGGCCTGGGGCTCCGGGGGTACCAGGATTCCCGGGGGCGCGGAGCTGCCAGGGAACCAGACGCCCAGCCCGCGAGCCAGGCGCATGGCTGGGGAGGAGGGGGTCACCTCGGGCTCCACCAGGGACGTCCGGCGGGAGTCAGAGGAGCGGTCCGAGGCTTGCTCTTTTCGGGAGCCCCCGCCCGCGGACGGCTCCGACTGCACGTTCCCCATTTCTGACGGAGGTCGGGGACTGTGGTCAGAAAAAGTTCCGCCAGTCAGTTTGCTAAAACTGTGGGGACTCCAAGAGGCTGGCTGTATTTGGTCCTACCGGTCCACCCCAGACCCGCCCCTGTGTTCCAAGATCCACCCAGGCACCAGTCGCTACCCGCATTCCTGTTACCTGACTCTCGAAGCTCGAGCGTTCTTCCCCATAGCCCCAATCAACTACCGTCATGCCTTCTTCCTCATGGCCCCATTCAGCTGCTGTTCAGACACTTAGGCTCCATTCTCTTAGTGTACTAAGGTTCTGTCCCTGTCCCCTCACCCTACCCCAACTTGTCCCTCAGGGCACATCCCTACACTTTGACCAGGTTCCCGGCCTCTAGGCTCCAAGACGCAGGTCTTGCCCGCTTTCCTGTCAGTCACTCAGGCCACATCACTCATGATGATTGTGCTCAGGAGCCTGCCTGTAAGGCCTGCAAGGAGTTCAAACCTCTCCCAGTCTTCTAACCTGGCTCCGGAGGCCCAGGCCCCGCCCCTGCTCTCTGGTCCCGCCCCCGATTGTCGGTATCGGGCCTCAGCACCCGCCCCAGGTCTGGCCCCGCCTCCGCGGTATTCTTGTCTTGCTAACCCCTTCGTCCTCACCTCTAACCCTCCGACCCCTGTCTCTGTGTCGATCATTTGAGTCTCGCCCTCTTCCCTGGCAGCGTCAGATCTTCAGGCCTCACTACTAAACTTTTCCGGCTCCTGGTCTACCAGCCGTCTTCAACACTCAGGCCTCACCCCTTTCTCCAACTCCGCCCTGGCCCCGCCTTCGCCCAGAGGTTCCCACTCACCGACTCCTCCAACCGACCAAAGTTCAGACCGCGGCCCCCTGGGCCCAGGGCAGGACGGGGAACGGCCGTAGCAGAAAATAACCGAAAAGAACGGGAATGAAGCGGGTGATGGCAAGTGGGCGAGACAGCGAGGGCGGAACCCGAGATCTAGGCCCCGCCCCCGGGCTCGAGGCCCCGCCCTCCGGTGAACCGGCTAAAGGCCGGCCCCTTACGAACCTGGATCTTCCTTTGAAATATTCCGACGTCTTCTTCCCCGCCCCCAGGCCTTGAAGTCCTAGGCCCCACCCCTTTAGAATATTATCCTTAGCTCCTCCCCTTTGTAAGTGCTCCGCCCCTCACCCTTAGTCCCTCCCTCGAAGCTCCGCCCATTACGAACACTGCTACGTAGCTCCTCCCTTTCAGCTCTCTCATGGGCCCCGCCCATAAGACAATTTACTTCTAAACTCCACCCTTTTAAGACCCCACAACATCTCTTCTCAAGGCCCTCTTCTTCCTCGGGCCTGCCTAGAAGGCCCTTCCACCGTGGAGCCGCCCCTTCCATGACGCAAGCGCTTTTCCGCGCCCTCGGCTTCCTCACCGACTCTCCTTCCCAAGGCCCTCCGACCCCGCCCCCTTGCGAAGGCTCCCTTCTCGCCCCACCCCTTTTCGAACCCTATCAGGTACTCAGCTCCTCCCATTTAGAACCCAAAGCGAAGACCCTCACCTCTTTAGAACCCTGAGACCAGGCCATGTCCCGGACCCTTCCCCACATCCTCAGGGATCAATGGCGCGGATGGATGGGAAAGTGGGGGATCCTTTCTGGATCCTGAGAAAATGGGGGCTGGGGGGCTGTTCTCTGGAGCCAGTGACGGGCTCTAGGACCCAGCGGGCAAGTACGCCCGCCTCGCGCTTACCCCTCCCCCAAGTCGCCCCCTCCCCCTCACCCATCTTCCAGGTTCCCCCTCCCTCCCCGGTCGCCCCGGCTCCCGGTGCCCGTCTCTAGCGCCGCCGGAGCCAGCGAGGGAGCCGGAGCGAACAGGAGGAGGAGGAGGAGGAGGAGGCCAAGTCGCCGCCGCTCGGAGCCCGGCCGGAGCCTCCCAGGCAGGTGCCAAGGGGGGCGAGGGGGCGGGGGCTGACAGACCGCCTGTCCCGGTGAGGGGGCGGCCTGGACCGCGCTGCGCCTCCTGCCCACCGGGGCGCCCCCAAGACCGCGGCTGGAAGGACAAGGGGTTGGGGGCTCCTAAACTGCGCGGCAGCCATTTAGGGTACCAGTCTCCATTTGGGGGCCTGGACTTCTCCGAGGACGCCCCATTCATAAAATTCCGAACTGGACCCCCACCATTGAGGAACTCTGGGGACCACTCCCCCAGGGAAACAGATGTGTGGGGAGCATAGGGCATTCAGAAATCCCGGCGTCCCATCCCAGCTAGGCCCTGGGGGACCCCTGCCCTCTTTCTCTGCTTCACCTGTTGTCGGGGGAGGCGGGCGGACAAAGGAAGCAGTATCACGTGACTGCTCATTCACAAAATCCCATCCCATTGAGAAAAGGGGGCTGGGGGCGCTGCGACCGCCCCTTCCCCTCCCGAAGGGCCGGGGAAAACCGGCAGCCTGCAGGTGGGGGAAGGGGCTAGAGCTCGTCGCCTGGGTCCCTAAGGTTGAGACGCCAGGGTTCCCTGCGCTAGGTGGTAGTGAGGGGCTGGACGCTGATCCGGATTACTGGGCGGAGGGCTACGTCCCCTGAGCTGGGGGGCGGGGTAAGATGGTTCTGAAGGATGCTGGGGCGGGGAGGGGGAGGAGGAGGGATCAATTCTCCACCTCCCCTCAATGTCTCCCCCTTGCCTTCCTTCGGCTGGGACCTGAGGGAGCAGGCTTGGTTTTTGTGAATGAAATGCACTCTGGTTGTGTCTCGGTCGCCCGTTTCTGGCTTCTTCTGCCTCCATCTCCCTTTCGGCCTCTCTCTGGCCATTTCTGGTTCTCTCCCTGCTCCCTGCCCATCTCCCGTTGCTGGGTGACTCAGTGAGCTTTGCATCCGGTCTCATTCATAAATCCGGGAAGGTGGGGGGGGGGGGGAAGAGAGCCTGGGTTTCTCACCCAGCCAGTGGCCTGGGCGGCAGAGTGTGGAGGCAGTGTAGGGGGATCTGGAGCTGAGTTGATGGGCTCTAAGAAAATACATATGCGCAGGCACCCAGCTGTGAGGGGGAACGATGGGTGGGGCTGTGGGAATGTGCTGAGGGAAGAGAAGGAGACTGGGTTGATAGGGGAAGAGCCGGAGGGGGAAGGGAGGTGGAAAACCGAGGCTATGGGGGTCAGGATGGGGCCGATGGGGAAAGGGACAAAGGTGGGTATGGAGAGGAAAAGTAGATGTGGAGAAGCTAAGCCTGGGAGAAAAGAGACGGCATGAGGAAGAAAGAAGCCATGCTGGAAGAAGGTGGGCATGGGGCGGGGGGTGGGAAGAAGGCAGGGATGTCAGAGAAAGTGAAAATCGGTGCGTGAGGGGGCAGCGGATCCAGATGTGAGGGACGAAGAGGGGGGGATGAGGGTTGGGGGAACTCTGAATGGGAGAGCAGCCCTGCAGCCCACTGACTGTGTTGCCCCCGCCTCCCCACGCCCTCCAGGTACATGGTTCCGGTCCGAGCCGTGGTGATGGCCCGAGATGACTCCAGTGGGGGCTGGCTGCCTGTGGGGGGCGGGGGCCTCAGCCAGGTGAGCGTTTGTCGGGTCCGAGGGGCCAGGCCCGAGGGGGGGGCCCGCCAGGGGCACTACGTCATCCACGGGGAGCGCCTTCGGGACCAGAAAGTGAGCCACCCTGGGGCGTGGGGGTAGGGTGGGGACGCGGGGGAAGGAAGGGGATGGGGCTGGGAGTGCAGAGATGAGGTCAGGTCATCTCCCAGCCCAGAAGCAACCCCCGGGGCGTGGGATGTAGTTGGAACTGAGTATCTGTCTTTCGGAGAACAACTGGGAGTTTTGAGAATATCTGGGGTTTCGAGCAGGTCCTGTCCACTGCCATTGCCCAATGGGCCATCACAGCAGCCTCCTCCCCGTTCTTGCCCTGCTCCTGCTCCGTCCCCCAACCTCGGTCTGTTCCACAGGGGCCCTGCTAACACCTGACTCAGATCATGTCCTCCCCTCTGCTCAGAACTCTCCTGGGCCTCCATCTTGCTCAGAGATCCTTACCAGGAGGCCCCACACCACTGGCCGCTGTCTGCTCTAAGTATATGGAGGCATTTGGTGGGGGACCATCCGGACGTGTCAAATAGGGTTTACAATCCTATATGTGGGTTCAGCAGGAATATTCTGGGCTGCTTGGCATGATTTGGAAGGCCAACGGTTGAAGTTTCAGCTGGGGGTGTAGTAGAAAGACTTGGATTGTTTGAAAAGGCTTGGGGGATGGCTTGCATTTCAGAGCAGGGGTCAGAAGGAACAACGTAGGGGGATTTGAACTGGTGTGATTTGAATATGGTGATTTTGGGCAAGGATGTGAGGAAACGTCAGTTGGTGTTGGCCAGCATCTGAGGGGAAAGCTATGGGAGTTTGATAAGAATTTTGGGAGATTGTTGGGGCATCAGAAGGAGATGAACAGTAATATTTTGAGCTGCTCAGTAAAGTTTGGGGAGTATTATTGAGTCAGAAGGAGGGACATGGGGTTATCAGAAGGGGGTATGAGGAAAATATAGGGATCAAGGGGCTTGGGGGAAATATTGGGGTATCAGAGGTGTGCTCAATAAAATTGGGAAGTGGTATTGAGGTGTTGATCAGGGTTCAGGGGTACACCTAGGATTGACAAATGAAGTTTGTGGGATGCTGAGGGATGCAGATAGGCGGAGGGTTGAGAGGAAGTCACAGGCATGGTTGGAAGGGGGTGTCTGACCTGCCCCCCTCCTGCCCCCTCAGACCACCTTGGAGTGTACCCTGAGGCCAGGCTTGGTTTACAACAAAGTGAACCCCATCTTCCATCACTGGAGCCTGGGTGACTGCAAGTTTGGACTGACGTTCCAGAGTCCCGCAGAGGCTGATGAGTTCCAGAAGAGCCTGCTGGCTGCACTGGCTGCGCTGGGTCGAGGTAAGTGGCACAGGTGGTGGGCACTGGAGGATGGGGTGGGAGGACTGGGAGAAGCTGGGGCCCAGGGCATTCACTGTCTGCCTCTCTCCCTGCCCCAGGCTCGCTTACCCCCTCTTCCTCCTCCTCTTCCTCCTCCCCTTCCCAGGACACCGCAGAGACTCCCTGCCCTCTGACGGTGAGTCTCCAGGATGCCGCTCTGCTGGGAGGGCAGGGGTTTATTTCTATTCTCTAAACATTCTTGAGCATCTCTTGTGTATCAGGCAGCGTGCCACACGCTGGGGACACAAATTTGGGCCCAAACTATTAGTGTCAACTTAATGCCTGTTATCCTAATTTTCCTATTCTATTGTGAGTCACATATTCATTCAAGAGTATTTATTGAGCACCTGCAAATAAGTAGTGTTTTAGGCACTGGGGATACATCAGTGAACAAAAACAAAGTCCCTTTCCTCATGGAGCTTCTATTCTAGTGTGGAAAGGCAGAAAATTAAAAAAAAAAAAAAAGGATAAGCGATAGTTTTTTTTTTTTTTAACATTTTATTTATTTATTTGAGAGAGAGAATGAGAGCCAGAGAGCACGAGAGGGAAGAGGGTCAGAGGGAGAAGCAGACTCCCCGCTGAGCAGGGAGCCCGATGTGGGACTTGATTCCTGGACTCCAGGACCATGACCTGAGCCGAAGGCAGTGGCTTAACCAACTGAGCCACCCAGGCGCCCGATAAGCCATACTTTTTATAGTGAACAAATTAATGACAAATCCCATTCTTCTAGTTACTCAGGGTACCAACTTTGAAGTCATCCTTGACTTTTGTCATTTTTTATGCTCCTCATCTAATCTGTCATCAAATATTGGCTTCATCTTCAAATTGATTAGCATCTGCCTCCAGCCTGGTGCTGTCCAACCTCATCTGCCAACCGGAGCATCTCACCACCTTCTTATTGTCAACTGCCCCCCTCCTATTCCCTACTGTCTGGAAGTTCCCCACACACAGCCAGAGGGACCCTATCGACATCTAAGATTGTGGCCATCCCTCCACTCAGAACTCTTCCGGGGGTCCATCTCACTCAGGGTAAAGGACAAAGCATATAAGATCCCATACCATTTGGCCCCCTATTCTCCCTTTTGCTCACTCCGCTCCAGCCACACTAGCCTCCTCACTGTTACTCCAACATGGCAGGCACATTCCTGTCTCAGGGCCTTTGCACTAGCTGTTCCTTCTGTCTTGGAATACTCTTCTCCAAATTTCCACGTGGCTCATCCCCCTACTTCCTTCAGGGTTTTATACACATTTCGCTTTCTTTGTGAGGCCCTTCCTGAGTAAGCTGTTCAAAACTGTGATGTCCTGATGCTCCCTATCCTGTTCTGATTTTTTCCCATCTTCTAAGATATTTTCCTTATTTCCTTCCTATATAGACAGTTTTCTTTTTTTTTTTTTTTAAAAAAAAACTTTATTTGAGAGAGAGATAGCAAGAGAGAGCATGAGCAGGGGGGCAGGTGGGGAGAGGGAGAAGCAGGCTCCTCACAGAGCAGGGAGCCTGACTTGGGTCTCAATCCCAGGACCCCAGGACCATGACCTGAGCCAAAGGCAGCCACTTAACCGACTGAGCCACCCAGGCGCCCCAGTATAGACAGTTTTCTTATCTGTTAGTCTATTGCCTGTCTCCTGTGCTAGAATGCCAGCTCCAGGAGGGCAAAGGATCATTTGTTGCTTTCTTGCTGCATCTCCGAGACCTAAAACAGTGCCTGGTATACAGTAAGTGTTCAGTAAATATGTGTTGAATACATTTATTGAATGAATAAATGCACATGATGTCAGATGCGATTTGGCATTTGCTGGGAACAGTGGGAGTTGCTGAGACTTCGAAGAACAAAATTGGTTCCCTGGGCAGAAAAGTGGGAATTTATATGCAGGGTCGTGGGGGAGGTGGGTGGGGCTACAGAAATCACGCAGACAGGTCCCACGTATTTGGTGCTTTTTCAAGAAAGAAGCCGACTTCCCATGCTCCATCTTACGTTCTTGCAACGGACTTGCGTGAGCCTGGCACGCTGTGGGTGCTCAATGAATGTTTCCTGAAGATAGCAAATGGATGAAGTCAGAATGACCCCCCAGGTTACAGAAAAGAAACTGAGGGTCTGAGAAGTGACTTTTCGGTTTGTAAAGGACAGGTGGTTTGGAAGGAACACCTTCCCGGTGGGTGGAGCTGCCCCAGTCAAGGTGTGGGGGTGGGAATGAGTCAGGAAGGTGGCTGACTGGCCAAGGGAGAAGGGTTCTGAGAAGGGAGAAAGATATTTGGATGTTCAGTAGGTCAGCAAGCTGAGTGGATAAAGAAGAGGGGGTCCAATTATAAAAACAGTAACCATTTCTAGCTCTTCCTGTAACTTCAGGCATGTGTTATACCCTTTACAGTGGGTCCTAACCACATCCTTATGAATAGACACTATTATGATCCCCGTTTTACAGAGAAGGAAACTGAGGCTCAAAGAGATGAGCTCACTTGCCGGAGGTCACACGACCAGTCAGTAGCAGAGCCGGGGCTAGCACCCAGGCCTGTCTGGCTGCAGAGCCCTCGCTCGCCATGGGAGGGGGTCTATGTGAGGGCATCGGCTGTGCCGGGGGTCCGGCTCTGAGGCCGCCACTCTCCCCCAGTCCCATGTGGACAGCGAGTCCTCCTCCAGTCACAGCCGCCAGGAGACGCCTCCCACCGCCCCGGCGGCCACTATCATTACCGTGGAGTCAGCTTCTGGCTTCGGGCCGGCTTCGTCACCCCAGCGCCGCCGCTCCTCTGCTCAGGTGCGACCTCCCACCTCCCGCGGAAGTCTGGGGCTGGGGGGAGGGGTGGGAAGTGGGGTAGGGTGACGGGGTCCAGAAGGAGGTGGGAGCTGAGACCCCAGAAGGGCAAGAGACCACAAACAGATTCTAGGGCATAGTTGGCTTGAATTCGTGGCACTGATGGTGGGGAGGGTGCTTGGGGACGGAGGTTCCCTGGAGGGTCGGTGAGGGCTTTCCCCGAGTCTTGGAGATTTTGGAAAGTTCTGAGTTCTGAATTCAGAGGGGCATGGGGGACGACTTGGACAATTCCTCGAGTATATTAGGGAGTTTTTCGTACTTGTGGAAGGAGTTGTTTAGACTGCTTAATTCATTGGGAGGGGCATGGGCTCCAAGGGGGTTAACGCTCCTTGGGGACTGGATTTCTGCCTCCTGAAGGACTGGCTGGGGTCCCGAGTTCCCAGACCTGGAAGTGGAGGGGATTGGGTGCTGGGACTTCCTGGATCTTGAGAGAGGACAGGGCTGAGAGTCTGGATCACCGGGGCTTTAAGGTGTGGGCTTGGTGCCTGGATTCTTTGGTCTGTTCTTGGATTTGAGAGGATTGGGCTGGGGCCTTGGAAGTCTGAGTGCCGCAGCTAGGCGGCACTCAGGATCCCAGGACAGCTTCCTAGGACGAATGAGGCCTGAAGGCTGGGTCTTTGGATTCTTGTTCTTGAGACTGGGATGGATTGTGGTGGAGCGTGGGGGGATCACAGACCCTGCTAACCTGTTCTATCCCTTCGTTCCACAGAGCTACCCTCCGCTCCTACCATTCACGGGGATTCCGGAGGCCTCAGAGCCCCTGGCCGGGGCAGGGGGCCCGGGCTGGGGCGGCCGTGGCTATGAGGATTACCGGCGCGCCGGGCCGCCCGCGCCCCTCGCCCTGTCCACCTGCGTCGTGCGCTTCGCCAAGACCGGCGCGCTGAGGGGCGCAGCCCTGGGGCCGTCCGCCGCACTACCGGTCCCTCTCGCCGAGGCTGCGCCCCCAGCGCCCCCCGCTCGCCCACCCCCGGGCCCCGGCCCTGCCCCCGCGCCCGCCAAAGCCTCCCCCGAGGCGGAGGAGGCGGCGCGCTGCGTGCACTGCCGGGCTCTCTTCCGCCGCCGCGCGGACGGGCGCGGTGGTCGCTGCGCGGAAGCCCCGGACCCGGGTCGCCTGCTGGTGCGTCGGCTCAGTTGCCTGTGGTGCGCCGAGAGCTTGCTCTACCACTGCCTGTCGGACGCCGAGGGCGACTTCTCGGACCCGTGCGCCTGCGAGCCGGGCCACCCGCGCCCCGCGGCGCGCTGGGCCGCGCTGGCCGCCCTCTCCCTGGCCGTGCCCTGCCTCTGCTGCTATGCGCCCCTGCGTGCGTGCCACTGGGTCGCGGCGCGATGCGGCTGCGCCGGCTGCGGGGGTCGCCACGAGGAGGCGGCGCGGTGAGGACGGCCTGGTGGGTCCGGTAGCTGCACCGAGGACCCCAAATTGAGGGTCCAGGACCCTGGACTCCGTTCGGACCCCCACACCCAAACCTAGGCACACCCGGAACTTGGAGCTTGAGTTTGGATTGAGAGACCCCAGACCTGGAACCTGGACCCCAAATCTAGGACTGAGAGACCCCAGACCCAGCTTCATTGGGATGTCTGTCCAAGAGGTCCCAGGCATCCTGAGTTCTGGCGTCCCCGTCCTGCCACCAACCCCCTCCCTGACCTAGACTGAGGAGACTCCAGGCATCCCCAAACTCTTCACCTCAGGCAGGCTGGGGAGCACATGTATCCCTGAGAGACGCAGGGTCCGAACCCTGACTCCCTGTTCAAATAACCAACCCAGACCCCATCATGCCTGACCCTCAGATTACAGTGAGTCAGGAGTTGCCAATACCTGACCCTGCCTGCATATAATTACTCCCAGATTTTGAGACCATAGAACCCAGATTCACCCCAAATGATCCTTGAATGCTCACCTAAAACTTGGGGCACGCATATCTGAGATATTCTTGTAGCCCCCAGGACCCTGGAGGCACCAAACCCTCTTAAGATGCCCTGAGTCCATAGGTATGCCCAAACAGATGTTCTCTGACCAAAATGACATGTGAGACCCATCTCCGAGTCTCCCCCTATCCTCCCCACCCAAGATCTAGATGTCAGACTCCAGGATGTTCTGGGAACCAAGGATCAAAGACCTCTGTAGACCCACTCACCACAAGCCAGTGTTCCCAGAGCTTTGGATCTCATATATAGGACTCTGAGGTGCCTGGTACTCCCAGATGTAGTACTGAAGACCACCAACACCTTAGGGCCCAAGGCACTGGTCTCAAGTCCTCAGATAACCCTCTTTCAAAATCCCTTAGACTTGGATTTCAAGCCCCAGAATGGCCTGGAATCTTTGGCTGCTTTGTACCCACAGATCCCCAATCCCCTCAAGGCTGGAAGCTCAGCTCCCAGATGTTGGGATGTTCATGGCAACCCAGACCTCTCACCCCTTGGCCCCCAGCTCCTGAATGACCCCGAGGTGCTTTGGGAGCACTGGTTCCAAGACCCCAAGGTGCCATTGGTCCCCCAAATTCAGGGCTTAAGCCTACACAACATTGGGATTGTCCCTGACTCAAGACCTTGGTCCCTCCGTACCAGAGACAACTGACGTGCTCCAGGACCAAAGCACCGTCAGATCCCAGATTTCTTTGGACCCAGACCTCTTAAGCCTGATATTCCCTGAGACCTGCTGCCCTTGAATTCTGCTGTCCATAAGTCCCTGAAACCCCAAGGTCCCAGACCTCTGATTTCAAGCCCCAAGGGCCCCAGCCCAAGCCCCCAGCATCTCACAGAACTACTCCTTTACTAGGGTAAAAAACAAAACCAAAAAACCCATCATCTTGAGCTCATGTTCCTGGATTCCAGGAGCACCCCAGAGCGCCCCACACCCATCTCTAGGACCTAGCATTGTCATAGATGATTGTGCAGGCTGTTCACTAAGCAAAGACACAAGTCGAGGTAGGGGTGTGGCTGGAATTCACACCACACTCTGCTGGCTGCACTGTGCACAGAGTCACTTTTTAGGCTAGCTACAGCTCTACACACACACACACACACACACACACACACACACACTCTCTCTCTCTCTCTCTCTCTCTCTCTCTCTCTCCCTTTGCACTCTGTCCCAAGCCCAACCTTAAGCCCCAGCCCTAGTCCAAGTTTTTTATGTTTTGCCCTGTTAACTCCTTCCCCTTCATCTCAGAGTTGGGGGTTGCTTTGTAAAGTTTGAAAGCCGCTTTCATGGCCCTCTGTGATGCCACAGTCTCTTCCCTGAGTGGAACGGGACTTTTGGGGTACCTCAGGTCTGATGGCCTGAAGCAGAGGACTAAGGTCTTGGAGCAAGACAATCTCAATGCTATATGGGCTTGGGACCCGCATGTGGTCCCAAGCATCTGGAAATGTGCACTTACCTTTCTTCATTACCCAGACTTGGATGGCCTTGTAGGGGTTCAAGGGATAGGTCAAGGGGGTCAGAGGGCTAGATCCTTCTGTCACTTCCTTTAAATTATTAACTATTTATTACATCCGGAACCTGTGAGATTCCGCTCTCCCAACCAGACCCTGGGATGGGTGAGAGAAAAGGGGGATGTCCCTCCCATCCCCACTCTGCCCAGCTCTCGTCACTGTCAGACCCACCAGAGCTGAGGGCGGAGGGACCGGGGGGCTGGGGCGGCCTGGGTCCCCATCCCCCTCTCTGTGCCTCGGTCTCCTCCCTTCCGTGGTCGGCGGGGGGAAGCTCCATTCTTAACCTACCTCGTTTTGGGGAGGGGTGGGACGGGGACCAGAGTGCTGTAAGGTGCTGTGGGATCTGCGGATGAAGCAGTGGGAGCTGGGGAAGGTTCCCCCAGCCCCCACCTCCCAGCACCGCCTCTCCCAGGTCTCCCAGTCCTGCTCCCTGCTGATACCCACCTCTGATCCATGATTACTCTTCATCACCCCCAAATCAGGGGTGCATGGAGGGCTGACCCTGGGAGCCAGGAAGACCTCAGACCCTGGAGCCCCCAGGCCCAATTTCCCAGCTGCTTGCCCCTCAGATTGGATGCTTGGCCCCCAGACTTGGGGGAGGCACCCCGACATTTATCTTCCTGATCTTGATTCCAAGCCAGTCTGTGACCTCAATATTGTTATCGTCAGTGCAGGCTGCCGTGGCGGGGGAGGATGGGGGCCAAAGACCCAGCCTTGTCATTGGGGGAGGGGGCATGAGATATTCGCTCCAAGAAATGTCTGTGACAAAGTCTCAGCCTGTGTCCTTTATTTGCGTTGATGCACCCCATCCAGTCACCTTCCTGAACCACCAAACCAGTCTCCTACCCAATTTGTCCTTTCTCCTTCACATCCTTTAGTCCCAAGCAGACCCTCCAGCTGAGTTTTATACATTCAGTCACTCAAGTACACTCTCTAAACCCCCATCATATGCCAGGCCCTGTGCTCAGCACTGAGGATAACGTAGCGAACAGAGCAGACAAAATCCTTCCCCACGAGCAGCTTATGAACTTTACAACGAAGGAGACAATAAATGACATGTTAGAAATTATATGCCCTATAGAGAAAAGTAAAGTGGAGATGGGGGGATACAGTCATTTTCAGCCAGGGTCCTCAGGGAGGCCTCACTGAGGAGGCGGCATTTGAATAAAGCCTTGAAGGAGGTGAGGGAGTCCTGTGGAAGTCTGCAGGAAGAACATTCTAGGTAAAGGGGAACTGTCCATGCAAGTCCCCGAGGGAAGAGCATGTCTAGGTAAGTTTGAGGGACATCAAGGGAGTGAGTGTCTGGAGGGGAGGAAGCAGGGAGGAAGGTATTTGGGGGATGAGGGCAAAGAGGTGACAAGGCAGATCTGTGGGTCCTTGAGAGCCATTGCATGGATTTTGCTGGTCACCCTGAGTGAGCTAGAGATACGGGAAGGCTCCAAGCACGGGCCGCGCTGTGACCTGACTCAGGTGTTTACACGTTACCTCTGGCTGCCTGTAGGGAACAGACACTGGGGGTGGCTGGGTAGGGAGCAGGGAGGAGGCTGCGGTGATGGTCCAGGGGGAGACAAGAGTACAGAAGATGAGGGTGAGAACAGTGGAGGCAGGGAGAAGTGAGCAAGATAATGGATCTACTTTGAAGCTAGAATCCACAAATTTATTTATTTATTTATTTATTTTAAAGATTTTATTTATTTACTTGACAGACAGCGAGAGAGGGAACACAAGCAGGGGGAGCGGGAGAGAAGCAGGCTTCCCGCTGAGCAGGGAGCCTGATCCCAGGGCCCTGAGATGATGACCTGAGCCAAGGGAGACGCTTAACGACTGAGCCACCCAGGCACCCCTAGAATCCACAAATTTAGATAAAGAGTTTACAAAGAAGAAAGAAATCAAGGCTGGGATTCCAAGGTTTTGACTTGAGCAATTTTAATGTTTTATTAAGGTCAACAAATGGTCCCGAGTGCCCAGGCTTGGGGAGGCAGCACTATGGAGGATTATCTTAACAACAGCAACCAAAACAGTAGCAGTACTAACAGTGGTAATAGGTTAAGTGATTAAAAGCATCGACTTTGGAATCATGTGAATTTGAGTCCTGGCCCCACCACACATTCACTCTGACTTATCCTGTCTGAACCTCCGTTTCTCCTCCCTAAACCGGATCTAAGATACTTAGCCTAGTAGCACACACAAAATGATCAATATATATTAACTGAGTACCCCTATATGTCTACTAAACACTTACAGGACTCAACCTCACAGCTCTTAAAAAGTACGTTTTATCCCCATTATACAGATACGAAGCAATTTGGCAGGGACACAGAGGTGGTGAGTGGTGGAGTCAAGTCCTAACCCTTGTTTGTCTAACGCCCACGGTGCACTCTCTTAATCACGACAGTGTATTGCACCTGCTCCCTCTCCAAGGCCTAGGGGGAAAGAGGGGTGAAGGCCCAACTGGTGCGTTGCGATCAATGAGGACTGGTGTGTGTAAGGGGGCGAGCCGGGCTTCCTGAGGCCCTGACGTAATTCCAACGCTATGCTGGAAAGGAGGAAGTAAGTTTCTGCATTTGGAGCGGAGTTGGGAGAACAACACTTGGTCTAGGGTGCTTCAAGAGCGAAGGGCATCTGAGGGAGGCTGAGACAAAGAAAACCCAGTTTCTAAGTCGCAGCAATAGCGACACCCGCTGGCCTGTCGCGACAGCTAGGATCCTGAACGCACGCGCCGGATTCACAGAGCCGGGGCTTTTCCCCGGTCTGGACCGGGTTATGCGAACCGCAGCGCTCTAGCTCTCCGCGCCGGAGGACCTGGGGGCGGGTTCTGCTGCCTCCTGCACCAATCGGGGCGCCGAAGTTCCTTAGGGGCTGATTGGTCGCCGCCGCCGCAGGGCGCCGACCGCGCACGCCGCTCCTGGGGCGGGGCCTCCCGCCGGCCGGCAGGGGGCGCGCGCCGGGAGAAGAGACGACACTTTCATGGAGGGGGCGGAGGCGGAAGCGCGGGAGGGGGCCGCTGTGGCCCGGGACCTGCTGGCCTTGGGGTAAGGGGAACGGGGTGTGGCTGGGGGAGGGGGCGGGGGTGCAGGAAGGGACAGGTTTGCCCTCAGAAATTGCTATTGGCCTTCCCAACCCCCTCCCGCTGCCTCGGCCCCGCCACAGGTATGAGGGCTTCTCGGGGGCGCCGTCGCTGGGCACCTCGTGTCCAGACTTCAGGGCGCTGTGCGCGCGGCTGGCGGCGGAGCTGGCGACTCTGGGCGCCCTGGAGCGGGAGCGAGGGGAGAGCGCGGAGGCTCTGAGAGCCGACGACGGTACGTGTGGAGCGGGCGGCCCGGAGGGGTGGGGCCGCGGGGGTCGCCGCCGCGCCCTGACTTCTCCGGCCTTCTGCAGGCCCCGGCGCCGAGGAAGAATTCCTGCGACAGTTGGCCGGCCTGCTGCAGGAGTTGCACTGCCCAGACCGCGCGCTCTGCGGCGGCGATGGCGCGGCGGCGCTGCGGGAGCCCGGCGCGTGCCTGCTCCTGCTGCGTGAGCCCGGGATACGGAAGTGGGCGAGGCTACGGCCTCCAGAGGGGCGGGCTCAGCATATTTAAGTGGCGCCAGGGTTCGCCCCCCCGGGGGCGTGGTCAGAATTGAGGCGCGCGAGAGGGTTCGAGGTGGGTGGGGTTCGAATTTGGACGTGTCTTGAAGTTCAGGTGGGTTGGATTTGATGTAGCCGGACAGGTGGTCCCTATTAGGTGGGGTTCGAAGTCCGAGCAGGGGACTGGGTCTCAAAGTGGGTGGAGCTTATCCTGGAGGTAGAGCCACGGTTCTAGGTGGGCGGAACTAGAAGGCCGGAGTATTGGAAGCCTGGAGGTTTTGAAGCCGATGGAGCTTTTTGACCCGGGTGGGTGGGGTGGCCGCCCTCCTTGATTGCAACGCTCCCTTTCCCTTATAGGCTTTCTCTGCTCGGAGCTCCAGGCTGCCCGCCTCCTCCGTTTGTACCCCCGGCTGGATCCCAGCCCCGCACCGCCCTGCGGAGAAGGGGCAGAGGAGGGAGCTGGCATGGTCCAGGAACTGATCCTTACCCTCCAAGCTCTGGGGCTGCCCAGACCCACGCCTGGGACCGCCGCCAGCCGGCTGCTGTGGGAGTTGCATGACAAGGTAGAGAGCTGGAGTCGTTTCCGCACCGGGGCCACCCCACTTTCCTTGTAGGGAGAGAGTCCTTTTTTTTTTTCTTTCAAAGATTTTATTTATTTATTTGACAGAAAGAGAGAGCACAAGTAGGCAGAGAGGCAGGCAGAGGGAGAGGGAGAAGCAGGCTCCCCGCTGAGCAGGGAGCCTGACGCGGGGCTCGATCCCAGGACTCTGGGATCATGACCTGAGCCCCCAAGACCCTGGGATCATGACCTGAGCCGAAAGCAGCCGCTTAACCAACTGAGCCACCCAGGCGCCCCAGGGGGAGAGTCCATTCTCCAAAAGCGGCTCTGGCCCGAGTGCCCCAGGCACGGGGATGTTGTTCTAGAGCTGTGACCACCATTCTTGATTCCGAGGCCTGGGTCCTCAGGGCCATGGGGGAACTGGAATCCACGGAGAGTACATCTGGTTTCTGCCCGGTCAACCTCAGACTCCCTTCTCCCGTCAGATCTCTGAGCTGCTGCCTTCCCTGCCCCCAGGGTTCCTACAGCCCCTCCTCAGCTTCCCGCTGGACGCACCCAGATGGGTAAGACTATGTATGACTGTTGGCGAACAGCATCCTCCCCGGAGATGGGAGTGAGGGGGACCCCTGGCATGACTGAGACCTTTTCCCCAGGAGGCATTGGACTCTCTGTGCCAAAGGCTGGGAGATCAGTACTGCTGCCGCCGCTGCCTGCTCCTGAAACGCCTGGACCTCACAACATCTTCTTTCCACTGGAGTGATCGGGCGGAGGTGTGGGAAAAGGACTTGGGCAGGAGCAGGGAGGCCCAGTTGTGGGGGTTACCACTACAGGAAGGAACAACGAGGGCAAGGAATATGACCTTACAGCAGATTCTTAGAATCTTGTAAGGTTTGGGGTTCTAGAATTTCAGGGCCTCGAGGGCATTCTAGAATCTAGAGGTCCAGGGCATTCTAGAATTCCTAGCTCTGAGCTGGGAGTCTCTCCAGAGCTATACCTCTTATTTAGAGATGCGGGAGGTGAGGCCCTAAGTGGAGAGAGATGCTTCAAGAGGACAGATCCCACCTGGAGGGCTCTTGGCCACCTTCTCCATGCCCCTCTCCCCAGGCCCAAGGAGAAGCCATGAAGGCAGTGCTGATCCCAATTCGAGAGGCTCTGACCCCAGAATCAGATGTCTCTGTTGCACACGTCCTGGCTGCCCGAGCAGACCTGTCTCGTCTTGTCCCAGCCACCAGCAAGGCTGCCCGCCGAGGGACCTGCTGTGCCATCAACAAGGTGGGCGCCTGGGAGTGGGGAAGGGCCCCTACATCCTTGGCCTTCAAACTTGGCTCTCTGGTCCCCTTGTTCATTTTTCTTCCTGACACGCAAGTCTGATCAACTCTCAGGTGCTTATGGGCAACGTGCCAGACCGGGGGGGCCGTCCAAATGAGCTGGAGGCTCCCATGCCCAGCTGGCAGAGCAGAAGAGAGGATGGAGGTGGGCGGAAGGCAGGCCGCCAGAACTGGGGTCGCAAGAAGAAGAAGAAGTAAAGGGGGACTGGTGGTTTGGGGGGGTCCTCTGTGATATGCTAATGCCATTGGTAATCCTTGGGGAGTCACTGTGGGTTTCTCTTGGTATCTGGCTCCCAGGCCCCACATCCCCTGCTCCTAAGGTCCCAAATGTCCTCCCGCCATCCACCACTCAACAGCAAGGACCATGTTCTCTGGAAAATAAATTTAATTTATGACAGCTATAGGACCTATCTCTGGGGGGGGGGGCAGGTCAGGGGTGCTCAGGTTTGTGGAGGGGTAAGGGTGTCTTTGTCCCCTGGGTCTCAACAGACCCCTGTTGCTCTGACCCTCATAGTCCTCTGCTCTTTAGCAACACATCTTTCCCTTCCTGTGGGCACAGGGAAGGAGACATGCAGGCATTGGACAAAGAGTTCTCAGGTACCCACCATGTGCTAGCCCTGTTCTTGGCACTAGGGATACAGCAGTGAAAACATATAGCTCATAAAACTCCTGCTCTGCTGGAGTTGACAGTTTCTGGTGAGGAGGCGCAGACATTCAACAAGATAAATAGATAAAAAGTATAGTTTGTTAGATGGGTAAATGACTTTGGAGGAAAACAAGGCAGAGCAGGACTAGGGGGTGGATTGCAACTTTGAGTATGGTCAGAGGGGCCTCCCTGAGAAGGTGACATTAGACCTAAGTCCCAAAGAGGGAGACATGTGGGCCTCTGGAAGAGCATTCTGGGCAGAGGGAACTGCCAGTGCAAAGGCCCTGAGGTAAGCAATATTTTTGGCATGTTCAGGGACCATAGAGGCCAGTGTAGCTGAAGCAGGATGAGTAAGGGGGTGAGTGGTGGTAGGTGAGGTCAGAGAGGTGACGGAAACAGATTGTGGGAGGTGGGCCGCAGTGAGGATTCTGGCTTTTCCCCTAGGTGAGAGGGAGGCATAGAAGGGCCCTGAGCAGGGGAGAGACTCAGGTATTCACAGGCTCCCTGTTCCACCCCTACTCTAGCCTTCTGTCCTGTCTCTGGAACCCCAGAGTTAGGAACATAAGTGCCCAGCCTATCCCCTCCCCGGCCTGACCCGTGCTGTCAGTGTAGCGTACTAGTGAGGAGCTTCCATCTCAGAGGCAGACAGAGGGCCTTGGACTTGAGTCCTGCCTCCAACACTTAGGGGCTCTGCCACCTTGGAGAGCAGCTTAACCTCCCTGGGCCTCAGCTTCCTCGTCTGTGAAATGGGGATGTAAGGAGTTGGTGGGATGATACTTAAGTCTAGACATATCCAACGTGAAATCGCACAGATAACGAAGTTCGGGGAAATGGGAGTACAGGTTGTGGCCACTCTGAGGCAAAGGAAGAAAATAACTTTCCGAGTAAGAGATGATGAACTCTTCACCGAAGGCGGTGTGGATGGGAAGGCGGAGGTGCCTTTGGGGGTCCTGCTGGAGGCCGAATCACAGGACTTGGGACTGACTCTGGGGGAGGTGAGAGACAACAGACCAAGCAGGGTCTAGGAATTCAGCTTGGAGGACTGGGCGGGCGGTGAGGCCGTCGTTGGGAGGGGCACCTGGAAGGAAGAAGACACTGGGTCACGTGGGGAGGATGTGGCGTCTAGGAGTCCGGGCACTGCCAGGGGCAGAGCCTCACCCAGACTTTGTTTAGTAGATGAATGAAAATGCCTCTGGATGTTCTGGTTTTTTAATTCAATCCAAAGGTCTCTACCTTTGAACAGTAAAATTTACTCCACTGACACCAGTTACAGCTCCTGATGTATTTGGTCTCGTCCTTGCCATTTTCTTCTTTTTCCTTTTTTCTCCTTAAAATTCCTTTTCTGTTCTACTATTGGCTACCCCCCTTCCCACTCCAGTGTATTGAAAATTTTATTTTTCTATCAATGTTACAAACTAACCAGGGTCTGTACCCTCCTGCCCACACAATTGAGGACTCTTGCACCTTTTTACTTTCCTATGCTTTCCCAAATCTGCCCGGGTTCCCCCAAGCAAATGGCCTGGACTCCCCTGTATCCAGTTGATGGTGGGGGGCCGTTCGCCTTACCGTCTCTGGTTCCCAGGAAGGGTGTGGGGGCTCTGTCTGGGTCCAAGCATGGCAAAGGTGGCACCCTGTCTCAGGTTCCAGGGATAGTGTATAGGAGAGATTGTCTTCCAAGCCTGTTTGTAGGGTGATAGATGAGAGGGATGTGGGTATGATGGAAAGGGCCTCATGACCTTGGACTTTTATCCCCATCCATCAGGCCCCCTTCCCAGGACTGCCACACCCTGGGTCTTACCACAGCTGGTGTGGGGAACCGGTATGGGTGGGACAGGGGCTCCGGGGGGGCTCATGTCGCCCTTGGCCCCTGGCCTCTTTTTACACTCCACCTTCACACGGTCCCTGCAGTGTTTGTGGCAACACAGCCCACAGTCTAGGAGAAGGTCAGCAGTTAGTGGTCAGAGGCCCAGCCTGCGCCCCGCCTTCATCCGGCCTGTAGGTGCTGGACTCCCTCCCTACCACCAAGGCCTCACTCACCCCGACAGCGGTAGCCTTGCTTGGTGACACCCCAGAGCTGGGAAGAGAAAGCAGAATTGGTGACGTAGGCTAGGGGAGAGAAGGCTGTGGATGGGGCTGGGGTTGGTCTCCGGGAGTGTAGAAACCATCTGGTTTGGGAAATCCTCAAGGCTGGAGGCTTAAGTGGGAACTAAAGGAGTTTGGGGTTATTGTAAGTTTGGGGAATCACCTAGGATGTTAGAATTAGACACAATCTGGAATTAATGAACTATAAATTCTATGGGCAGGGATTGTATCCGTTGTGCGTTCTGCTGTGTGCCCCTCTCGCCAGCCCTCAAGTCTAGAACAACCTGGCGCACTGGAGGTATTCTTTGAATAGGAAGTGAATGAAAAAGTGGGTTTGGGAAGTGATCCAAGGTTCGTGAATTAGTCTTGGTTTGGAGATTGAGAGATCTGTCCATTATCCAGAGTTTGAGGATGCCTTGAATTTGAAAAGTATCCAGGGTTTGAATTATCTGGAGTCTAAAGACTTGGAAATGGATTCTGTTTGGAGATAATCCACCCAGCTTTGTAGATTAGGGTTTTGGATATCCATAGTTTGGCAGTGATCCAGGATGCAGATCATCTGGGATTTGGGCACTATCTAGATTCTGGGCATAGCCAGTGTTTCGGGTTTATATGGGATGTGGGGATGATTTGAGACTAGGGGATTTTCTGGAATTTGGTGATCATCTGGGGCTTGGGGACTGGGAGCCCTCCAGGGCAGGGCTGGCCTTCTGAACCCAGGCTGTGAGGAGTCAGGACTCGGGACTCTCCAGGGGAGATGGGCCCTGATAGAGGGGCAGGGTGCTCACAAAACCACTGCAGCTGTCACAGAAGGTGGGCTTGCGGAAGGTGACCTCCTGGAAGTTGTGCAGGAAGGCCAGGCCCAGCTTGGAGCAGATGGCACTGGCCTGGAGCAGGTAGCCCGTCAGCTCTTCTCGGCTGTAGGAGCCATTCCTAGGGGCAGAGATTACACCTTAGTGTGAATGGCCCCTTTCTCCCAGGAGTCCTGGCAGCCCCAGCATCCTCCCATCCTCCTCTTTGGGGGACCTAGAAGTCAGGAGTACTTACCCCTGGTGGGGGGGTGGGTGAAGCCCATGGCAGGCGAAGGGGAAGTTGCCTGAGAGTCGCTCAAAGTCCTCCTGAGAGATGGTTCCTCGGCCTTCAGGGTCATAATTCTTGAACACAGACTTCAGAGGAGTATGGGAAGGAGAGAGTAAGGCCAAACCATGATCATCAAGGTCTTAGATCTCCTCTGGGTCAGGACTGTACAGATACATTCCTTCCTGGCCCCCCCAGTGGCCAGGCCACAGTCCCCTCCTTACCTCCACCAGCAGCTCCACGTGCCGACCCAGGGTGGCCCTGTCGGGCTTGGGTGTCACGCCAGGGGCCCACTCCACCACCAGGGGTGCTTTGAAGGGGGAGGGTGGCTGGGGCAGGGACAGAGGGGCACAGTTAGTGCATGGGCTTGGGCTGGTGGGCAGGGGTCAGGGGTCAGTTCTCACCAGACTCTTGGGACAGCGGGGCTCGCGGGCGTAAGAAAGCTCATAGATCTCATCCTCCGTGTAGAAGAGATCCAGGGAAAGCTGGGGGGTGGGGGGGAGGGCGTTACAGATTCTCACCTCCATCCTCCTGCCTACAGCCTGCGCCCTCCCCACTTTCATCCTCTTTCCAAAGCCCCTCTTCTCTGGGGACTCCTAGGCTCCTCTCTCCCACCGAGCCACCATTCCGTCTCCACACCCCCGTTCCCTAGTCCAGAAATGCCATCTTCTCACGGAGGCTTTTTTTTTTTTTTTTTGGGTCCTGTTTAAAATGGTAAACCCCTATTACTTTCCTTGCTGGTTTCTACTTTAGTTTTCACTATTAGCACTTATCCTCCAAGAGACCATATGATTTATTCATTTACTTTGTTTTATTGGCTGTCTCCCCTACTGGGAAGTCAGCCCCACAAGAACAGCAGTTTTTTTTTTTTCCTGACGCGCTGACTGCTGTGAGCCTAAGTGCCTAAAGTAGTGTCTGGCTCACAGCAGGTGCTCGATAAATATTTGGGCTCGATGGCCTTCTAGAATCAGCAAAGCACAGAGCCTTGGGCACCAATCATCTTAGGGCAAGGCCAGCTTCACAGGCAGGCCCCACACTTGGAAGGGCCCTACTTCATTTAATGCCCTGCTGTCACCGTCTTGAAATTATGAAGAATTTTGAACAAGGAGCCCCACATTTTCATTTTGCACGGGGCACTGTGAATTATGTAGCTGGTCCTGTCTTGGGGTCCAAAAATCAGTCTTAGACTCCATGGCCTTTAGAATCCCAGTCTCTCTCAATTTCTAGCTCCATGGGCAGGGCAGGAGGATACATATATAAAATTATATTATATAAATAGCATACAGCCAGAACCCCACACTCCCAGTGTGAGGATGTAGTGTGGTGGTTAACATATGTTAACACACAGGTTCTGAGGCTGACCTGCTTGGGTTCAAATCTGGGTTTTATTGCCGTGGGACAGCAGACCAGTGACTTCACCTTGTGGGCCTCAGTTTCCCAATCTGTAGAATGGGCACGACAAGGATGCGGATCCCCCAGCACCCAGGACCCCAAATCTCTACAGCCTGCAGGTTCAGTCCCTGGGCACCCCGGGCAGGGCGGCTCACCGTGAGCAGGTGCAGCAGGTCCTCGCTGGCGCTGCACGGCGGGTGCTGCCTTTGGAGGGCCGCCAGCTCCTGCAGCCGCAGGTAGAGGCTGTTGAGTTTGGGTAGGTGCAGGCGGCCATCAGGCAACCTGTCGGGCTGTGCCTCGTGCAGGGACACCAGGTCTTTGAGGTGCACGCCCAGTACGGGCAGCCGGAAGCCCGTGCATTCAGCCCAGGTGCGGCGGTAGCGCGCGTAGTTGTTATGGGCAGCAAGCAGCTCAGACAGCTCTAGCAGGGCCTGTGCGTGAGGGCATATTATGGGGAGTGGGGAATGTTATGGGGGAGGCCATGTCTGCTCCCTTAGTCTCCTGGAGGGGGTATCCTGGCAGCCTCCCATTTGGGTTCCGGACTCCCAGGGGCCCAGTGGCATTTTGGACATCGACCTAAGCCCCTCCATGCCCCACATTGGCCTCAGCATCCCCCCCACACTGCTCTTCCTTTTGGGTCCCCATCTCAGGAAAGCTCCATATCCCCCATTCCCCAGGCTAGAGTGATTTTTTTCCAAAACTGAAATCTGATTATGGGTGCTGGCATCATTACCAACCCTTTCCTAGCTCCCCATTGCCCTTTGGATAAAGCCCAGACACCTTAGTTCGGCCTGCAAGTCTCAACAGGATCTTCCCTTGGGCATCTCCAGCCTAATTTCCAGCCAGATTCTGACTTCACACACTGGACTCATGAATAACTCACTCTCCCCATACACTTCCCGGGACAGTCCTAACCTATGCTCTTCCCATGGGTGGCCTAAATTTGGTGTCCTTAGGGGCATCATTTCAGTCCCCACCTGGTTCTCTGCTACCATCTCTCTGATCTATCTCCCTCCAGTCCTGCTCAGGACTGGAAACAGAGAGGGGAGAGGGGTCAGCATGATGCGTGCATGGTTGAAGAGGCAGGAAGAAAGGCAGAGGACAGTCTGGGGTTCTGTCCCATTTGGAGGAGCAAGGTCTCCAGGTGGCTCCAGGGCCCCTGGGTAGGAATGGAGGGGATGGGGAAAAAGTGTGTGGGGGGGTTCAGGATAATTGACTGCTGGAACTTTGGGGAGAATAGTGGGGGTTCACCTTGGTGCTGTCAGGGCTCAGGTGGGCATGGGAGTCCTTGAGTCTGGAGATGGCACTGTGACACAGGCCCCCCGTGACGGCCATCAATGTGTTGAAATTCTGGAGCTGGTGGAGCCTCTAGGAAGGGAGGGTGATACAGAGATGGTGGTTATCACATGCAGGATAGGCAAAATGGGGTTCCCACGACTGCATCCCAGTTGAATTGTGGTGTCAGGCATGTGTGGGTATGGGCCACTGTGAGCATCAGGTGAGAGGTGTCAGGCAGGAGTGGGTGTGTCAGGAAGGAGTGGGCTGCAAGCAGGTATATGGACATTACATGGGGGTGTCAGGCAGGTGATAGACTGATGTGAGGTCAGAAAAAAGGCCGGGGGGGGCGTAGTCAGGCGAGTGTGAGGAGTTAGGTTTGGGGACTAGACAGGTGTGGGGGATTCAGACAGATGTCAGGTGACAGGCACCTGGGGGTCAGACTGCTCTGAGAGTCAGGTGAAGGGAGACGGCCTGGGCTCTGGGCCGGAGTTAGGAGCCGGGCAGAGGTGAATGGGGCCAGAGGGAAATGGAAGGGTTGGCAGGACAAGAGAGACAAGTGTGGGGTCAGCAGGGCATTGGGGGCAACTGCCTCATCCTCCCCTTTTTCAAGTTTGCCGGGCAGAGGTTGCTGTGGGGAGGGGGAGGAGCCAGAGAGGAATGGGAGACACTCTGACCGGGAGACCCCTGGGCAGACACTGGAACTTTTAAGTCCGCGAGGGCCGCACAGGCTACGAGAGGAAGGGCGTGGCCTGCGAGGAAGTACGCAAAGGGGCGTGGCCACGGCGGGGGAAGGAGGCTCCCTTTTCTCCAGAAAGGAGGGAAGGTATCTGTTTAGGGAAGGGGAAGAGAGAGGTTGTGACACAGTGGGGCTGGGCCAGGGAGAGACCTGACGTGATGGGGAGGGAGGCATGCAGTCTGTCCCGAAGGGACGGCTGGGGCCTAGAGACTGAGGTAGAGGGTGATGCAAACGTGGGGGCCTGCCAGAGACGCTTTCGCCGTCCTGTGAACAGAATATTCGGGCTTAGGGCTTGGGAGACGGGTCAAGAGGGGACGTCGTCAACAGCTACGTCTAGGACCAATTGGAGGGCCAGGGCGGGTTCAGCGTGGTAGTATCAAGGCCAAGGAAGAAGTGCAGTCGCAGTCCTGGGTTAAAACCTCTGGACCAGGACCTCGGGGGCGAAGTCGGGGTGGGCGTGATGCGAAGGGGGCGGGCCCAGGGTGTGGATGACGTCACCGCCGGGGCTGGTCAGCTGTGGCGAGGGCCTGGCAGCTGGACCGGGTTGGGGGTGGGGGTCAGATAGCTGCGCGCGGCGGTTCCCTCAGCCCCTCGGGGCGGGCCTCACCTGTGCCACCTGGATGAACTTGTCCAGAACCTGCGCGCGCTGTGCCGGCCCGGGACGGCTCAGCACCATGACCTGCACCCAGCGGGACACGCTGTTGCTGAGCCCTACGGATCCCTCCAGGGCCGGGCAGCCCCGCACGGAGCCCTGCAAAACGTAGCCCCGCAGGTCCTGGGGCTGGGGGTGAGGTGGGCGTCAGGGTGGGCAGTGGCGCTTCTGCCTTGCCCTCACACGCCCATCCCCCTAGCAGTTGTGACCTCTGAGGCCCTAGTCTGGCTGTCACATGTCCTTGACGTCACCGTGGCCCTCTCCCTCTGAAGAGAAATATTTAAATAAAGTCAGGCGCTGTTCTGAGCCCTCTGTCCTATTAACCAGTTTAATCCTCACATCAACTCTACTGAGTGAATACCATACTATATTATTCGCATTTTAGAGATGAGGCCGTTGAGGCACAGAGAGGATAATTTGCCCAGGGTCACACAGGTGTGAACCCAGTCTATTGCTCATAACTGTATACCTGACTGGTATACAGTCAGCAAAAGGAAGGATGGCAAAGAAGGCATGAAAGCAGTTTCTCTTTGTTCTGCTCAAGGGGTCAACATTCCATACCTACACGTACTGCACCTTGTGTGCGTGTGTGAACAATCAGCAAATTTTCACACTAAGGAACCAGATCACTGCCTTCCCTTGAAGTGGTGGTGGCAATAGCTAATACTTATATATAGGTTGAAGCATATGAAATTATCATTTGGGTAGGTAAAATATGGCAATTTCAAGTCCTTCTACCAGGTAGCATTCACTCTGGAGCTGACACTGAACCTATAAGGCAGGAAATGTTAAATTCCCCTTTTTACAGATAATGGAACTGAGACACAGTGAACTTAAATGCTTCTTGAATAAATGAATAATTAATAAAATATTTTGAGCGCTTACTATGTGCCAGACACTGTGACAAGCATTTCTTTTTTTAAAGTAGGCTCCACACCCAATGTGGGGCTCGAACTCACGACCCTGATATCAAGACCTGAGATCAAGAGTCAGATGTTCAACCGACTGAGCCACCCAGGTGCCCCCTGACAAGTATTTTTAAGTGGGCATATTAATTTAATTCTCCCAACCATCTAATGAAGTATTATGACCTCCATTTTATAAATGAGAAATCTGAGTCCCAGAGAGGTTGAGAATCTAATTCAAAGTTACACAGATAAGGAAGGGCTGATGGATTTGAACCCAGGGGTTCTGTCCTCAGCCAGCTTAACTCATTTTCCCGAGCTTTCTAGGACCCACGTTTGAGAGTTTGAGATCCCTGCCTAATGTAGGGGTCATCTGAGTCTTGCCAGGCTCCACCCCACTCCCAGCCATTCCCAGCTGGGGGAAGGGAGTCCTCACCGTGATGGCCTGGAAGGACCGGAACTCCAGATAAGTGAGATGCTGAGCCAGCTCCCCCGTCTCCAGGTGGTCGAAAAGCAAGGACACTTTGCGCTTTTTGCCTAGGCCTGGGCTGTTCATGGGGGGTGGGGGGCCAGGGCCACCTGGGCTCAGCCTGGGGGCAAAGAGGGGCAGGGTATTGGAGGGGTACAGGGTGGAGGATGTGGGGGTGAGGAGGGGGATGGGAGAATGGGGGTGGAGAGTGACTGACTCACAGGTTGGAGGAGTCTCCCAGGCTCCTCTGGGCAGAGTTGCCCTCCTGCTCCACAGTGGCCCAGAAGCGACCTATAACCTCTTCTAACTGAGGCTCTTGGTGTACCGTCTCAGGGTGTTGGGTCAGCCAGTATCTGAGGGTGGTTTAGAGATGGTGGGATGAGGCTGGGGGTGGGGAAGTTCTCTAAAAGGGGTCTCTTGGGCTGAGGAATCTCTAGGTACTGAACTAGGGGTCTTTGAAAGGTCAGGGTTGGAGAGGCACCAGCCTGGGGCTCTCTCTAGGAATAGAACTGGGGGCCTCTAACCACAGGCTGGGGAATCAATGGGAGATAAACTGGGGGGATCTCTTGGAGGTAGAATTGCTAGGAAGCAGGATAGTGGGGGGCGGGTCTCAAGAACTAAGCTGGGGCCTCTGAAGGGTGAGACGTTTGGGCAACAAGGTGAGGGGGATCTTAAAAGTAAGGCCAGGGCATGTGGGGGGCTGGGGAATCAGAGCTGGAGGTCTCTGAGCATCAGCTAGGAGAGGGTCTCTAGGATCTGGTCATGGATCTCTAAGAGGTAAGGGTTCTAAGGAGCAGAACTGGGAGGGTCCTGGGAACCAAACCAAAACCAAGGCTGTCTCAGAAGTGGTATTTGGGGGAGCAGGGCTTGGTGGGCCTGTGAGGAATGAGTCTGGGGAATCTCTGGGAGGTGTTTTTTGGGGGTAGGGAATAGGATGGGGGTCTTGGGTCATGGGAGTAGAGGTCTGGGCCCAGCCCTACCTGACCAGGTGACAGATCTGCAGCCGCCTCTGCTCTTGTGTGTTCCCTGTGGCCTCCTGGTACTTGAGTTCTGGTCAAGGCTCTGATATCCAGCATGCCAGACCTGCCTGTTCACCCTGTCCCCATTTCCCAGACTCTCACGTCTCTGCCCTCTACCCTCCACCCCCTGCTCATGGCCCTGGGAGGATATAAGGTCAGCAGACGGGCAGCGAGGTGGGCAGAAGGCAGCACCCAGCTGTGCATGGCCAGTACCATGTTGAGAATGTGGTCCCCACGGCGCAGGCTGCCAGCTGAGTCTGGGGGGTGGGAGAAGGGGACTCTGTGTCGGAATGGCTCCCGGGCAAGAGACTGCACGGTCTCCAGAGCCCGTTGGATTGGCTGGTTCAAACTCCAGCTCTACCTGTTTCTCCCTGCATGAACTAGGGCAAGCAACTTGGTCTCCTGAGGGTGTCTCGGTTTCCTTGTCTGTACTGGGCATAGACCACAGCACCTGGCAAGTCATGGTGTAGATGGAAATAGCATCACACCTCCTCCCCCTCCGCATCTCAGGAAAAAGAAATGCACATGTTTCTCTTATCCTGAATGTCCCATGATTGAGATTCATTCCACACAGCCTTGCTACCATTTTATACGCCCCACCCCCAAACAGGCCTAGAGAGAGGTGGCTGCTTTACCACCTTAGGACTAGGGAGGCTGGTCAGGGAAAGGGACACTCACCGAAGGACTGAATGCATTTCTCCAGCAGTTCGTCTTCACTGCAGTCGCCCTCGTTCAGCATGCCCAAAGCCATGGAAGCCATGACCTTGCTGATTTCCCGGGGGCTGGGGCACGTCTTGTGGCGCCGGGCCTGTCGGGGCCGGCTCCGGCCCCCTGTCTTTCCTGGGCATTCCTGGTGGGACTTCCTATGGGCACACCCCCCAGGGAATCATGGGAACCCCGTCCTTCGGACAGACCCCCAGAATTCTTGACTCCAAAACCCCAAGGCATCATGGAAGAAAACCCCTGGAGTATTTCAGATCATGGGAACCTTCTCCTACAGGTAAACTCAAAGCGTTACTCCTGCCCCCTTCAGGAATCAGGGGAAAAGACTCTTAAGACCACCCTGAACCCCCAGAAAATCATGGAGAAGAAGACCCCCAGGATTACTAAGGACCCTCCAGGGAATCATAAGAACTCCTTCCTCCAGGCATTGACCCCAAACTCCCCTTGCCTGTAAAGTCCCAAGGCATTATGGAGAGACTTTCTGTCGGCAGAACCCTGGGGTGACTCTTGACCTCCCAGGGAATCAAGGGAGAAGACCACTGCGCCCCCATCCCTCCTACTCCTGCTCCCCCAGTCATTCCTGTCCTCCTCAGGTTCTGCCTTCAGGGAGATTCCTCAGAATTCCCCCTCTGCCCTCCAGTGCTGGTCCTTTCTTCCCCCAGCCCTCATGAAAGCAGCAGACTGCTGAGATTCTATCTGTCCCTCCTCCCTGAGCTGGACCCCCTACTACAGTGACAGGCCCCTCCCCCAAGCCAGTATTTTGGCAGGACCTGAGTCTTAGCCACCAGCCTGGGCCCCTAGGTTTGGAGAGAAGATATGGGTGCAAAGTGGCCTCACCAGGGCTCTTCAGAGCTGGGCAGGGTCCCTGGGGTGAGGCAGCTTCAAGGAAAGTTTAAAAATAACCCTCGCTCTGCCTTGTGCCTCCCTGAGGCTCGTGGTCCAGTTGGGGAAAAGGGTAATGGAGAGACAGGGATGGTGGAGGAAGGAGAGAGCTGAATGCGCTTGGCTTCCACAAGGGTGGAAATGGGATTAGAGAAATTTCTGTTGGCTGTGTGACTTTGTGCTAGTCACTTAATGTCTCTGGGCTTCAGTTTCCCCACATGAAAAATGAGAATCATCCTTAGACCTTCCCTAGGAATTTATTATGAACAGTCAGTGCCTTGCTCTTCAAAAGTGCTAAATAAAGGACTTAGTTTGGGGTGCCTGGGTGGCTTAGTCAGTTAAGCATCTGCCTTTGGGCTCAGGTCATGATCTCAGGGTCCTGGGATCGAGCCCCACATGGAGCCTGCTCAGTGGGGAGTCTGCTTCTCCCTCTCCTTTTGCCCCTTCACCCACTCATGCATGCACTCTCTCTCTGTCTCAAATAAATAAATAAAATCTTTAAAAAAATAAATAAGGGACTTAGTTTGCTCAGGCTGTTCAGTGGCCAGAGAAGGGAAAGTTGAACTTGGGATACAGAGAAAGTGATGGGGCAAACTAGAAGCCAGGCCTGGGGTACGGAGTGAAAGCAGAAGTGGGGAGACCCTCATCACAAGGGCACTGCCATGTCCTGGCGCATCCTAAGGATTCAGGGGATCAGTCCTGAGTGTTCTTGAGCTGGCATTTACTGAGTACTGAATATATGCTGGGCAGAGGCCTGAGCACCTGTCTAGTTCAGTGGTTTTCAAAGCATGGTCCAACTGATACCACCAGCATCACCTGGAAACTCAATAGAAATACAAATTCTCAGGTCCCACCAGAGACCTACAGAATCAGAAACTTTGGAGGTGGGGCCCAGCCATCTGTGTGTGTGTGTTTTAAGATTTTTTACTTTTAAGTAATCTCTGTCCCCATCGTGGGGCTCGAACTCACAACCCTGAGATCAAGAGTCTCCTGCTCCACCTACTGAGCCAGCCAGGCGCCCCGACAATCTGGGTTTTACAAGCCCTCCAGGTGGTTCCGATGCATGCTCAAGCTTAAGAACCACTGGTCTAGACTGTCTCACTGAGGACTTCCTGGCCCCTCTGAGGAGGGGCTATGATTATTCTATTAACAGAGGAAGAAACTGGGGCACAGAGCAATTAAGTAACTTACCTAAGGTCACACAGCCAGAAAAATGAGGCAGCCAGGTCTCCACCACTAAACTGCTGGGTATTATGGGGAGGGGACCCCTTTGCCCATCAGAGACATGCCAGAGGAGGCTGGAGGAGCGACCCAGGCTAGGGACCCAGCCACCATCGCCCCGGTGAGGACAGGAAAGCAAGCTGGTCCAGGTCATGGGAAGCCTGTTCCAGAAGCTGCGAGGCCCTTACCTGTGGACCATCTGCTTTCCGTAGTGCCTGGAGCGGCCAGGAGGGGTTTAAGAAGCAGGAGAGCTGCCCTGCCCTGCGTCACACTCCCCTCCCCCGGGGCAGGGCCCTGCAGGAGCCTGGAGTTTCCAGTCCAGGGGCAGGGGGCAGCAAGGGAGCGACCGTGATGGGACACCAGGAGGAGCCCAGGGAGGACAGAGACACCCAATCTAGGGAGCAAGGAGAAGTGGGGGCGGGGCAGAAGGGGATACAGAGCAGCTGAAACTCCAGACAGTGAGGATGAGCCCCAGATGCTCAAACACACAGCCCCAGCCCTAGCAGCTCTGGACTCCCTGAAGTACCGTTCATCTGGAGCCCCCTGCTCCTGCCCTTGGAACCCAACCCTCTGCTGGCAGCCTTAGTACTCCCCAGCCTTCCCACGCAGCCAGAGGCCCAGGGGCTTAGGGCGCTGCCGGTCTCCTTGGGGAGGGTCCTCTCACCTCTTGCTGTCTTTCCTGTTCATGTTTCCTGGTGGGGGGAGGGGGTCTTGCAAGAGTCTGGCTCAGTTCTTCCCCCCCACCAAGTGTCCAGCTTCTTAGCCCCTTGGGAGCTTGGGCCTCCTCTGTGCTTGGGAAGGAAAGAGGAACTGCCCCTCCCCACCCAGCCCCAGGCCAGGGGGAAGGAAGAGGCTGGGGAGAGACCAAAGGTCCCCCCTCCCCCACATGGGGATCCCTTCAGGCTGAGGTTTCCGGTGCTGCAGGCCCCCACCCCCAGTCGCCCAGCGGGCTCTCTATCTCCCCGATCTTTCGGTCTCTAGACCCGTGATTCTCTGTTCTGTCACTGCTGTACTTCAACAAGAGCAGGTTTTGTTTGTTTTTTTTTTAATATGCCTATTATGACACATTTATGTAAAAACGTACTCAGAAAGTCTATATTTCTATAAGGATATATTCATGTATCTAATACACAGAGGTTTGAATGGAAAGTCACAAGACATAATACTTTGTATATTTCTTCTTATTATTTCTTTTATTCCTGGTTTCATTTTAAGAATAACCATTTGTATCCCAGAAAACATTTTCATTTTATTATATTTGTTGTAACAAACCCTTACGTAGTGCTTACTGTATACCACACAGTGTTCTAAGAGCTTTTAAAATATTAACTCATTTCATCATCACACAATCGTAAAGACTGTTCTCTTATTATGAAAAACATCATAGATGGAGGTAAACTCTCTGGGGGCCCCTTTCCCCCTTAGGCAGGGGTGACCAATATCACATATTGTTGGGTTTCATTTGATCTGTAGGCTGTGCGTTTGTTTAGGTACATAAATACATGCTCAAAGAAATGCAGACTTTTCTTTTGAGTTTGTGTGCTTTTTTTTCTTTTCCTTAAATGTGTCATGCTTGTCATTTGTAAATTGATGACCAAAAACACAAATCCTAAGTGTTTAGGTTGATGAGTTGTGATAAACTGAGCGTATCTCCGCGTCAGTGACAAAATCGAGAAACGTTTCCATCCTACCCAAACTCCCCTGCACAAGCCCCATCCCAGTCCTGCCTCCCAAAAGTTGCCCCTAGCCTGATTTCTTTTTATTTTTTTAAAAAGATTTTATTTATTTATATGAGACAGAATGAGAGAGAGAGCACATGAGAGGGGGGAGGGTCAGAGGGAGAAGCAGACCCCCTGCTGAGCAGGGAGCCCGATGCGGGACTCGATGCGGGACTCCAGGATCATGACCCGAGCCGAAGGCAGTCGCCTAACCAACTGAGCCACCCAGGCACCCCAGCCACTATCCTGATTTCTATCAGGGTAGTTTTGCCCAGGGTTTGAGTGGCTTATAAATGGAATAATTTATTGTGTCTGACTTCTTCCCCTTAATAATCATGTTTTCGTGATTCTTGCATGTTATACTTGGTTGTAGTTATCCTTTCGGTTCCCGCACTGCGTGACTATTCCACACTTTATTGAGCAATTTTCCTGTAATGGACAGGTGAGTTGCTTCCAGTGTGGGGCTATTGTGAAGAAGGCTGCCTGTGAACCTTCTAGCACCTGGTCTTTGGCTGAACGTTTAAGTGTGCAGTCCTGTAGGTAGATACCAGGAGTGGAACAAATGGGTCATAGTAATTAATATGCCTCTGCCAAACCTAGGGTGTTAGTCAATTCAACCCAAGCTCTCATAGAAGTATATTTTTACTCCTTTCTTCTTTTCACTAAAAGAAGTCACCATGGATTTTTTTTTTCCATGCCAGAACATTTAGACAAGCACAGAGCTCATGCTGTGTAACTTTTCCATGACATGACCTACCGTATAGTCTCAGGCCCTCTCTCTCTCTTCCTCTCCCTGACTCTTTACCCGTCCCTCCCCCGCACCAAGTCTCTGGTGGTGCTGTCCATGATGTGCCGTCTGTCTGTCTCTCAGCCCATCTCCCCAGCACCTGCATTTCACAAGGTGATGTAACACCACTGGCTGAGCCCAAGCTTGTGGTGTCTCCTCTCCCCCCACCTCCCCACCCCCACCCCCAGGACCCAGAGAAGCCTCAGGAAGGGAGGTCAGTACATGCGCCCCCCTGCAGGCCTGCAGGGATGGTTACTACTCCCAGTAACACCATCAACCACAAAGGAAAAGGCTTCTGAAGCAAACTACAAAAACTTACAAGGCATGTGCATTTGTTAATATCAGAATAAAGATTTCTCTCAATGAGGACACCATGGGACAAATAGATGAGATGACAGAATGGGAACAGGGATTTACAATGTCTAAAATCAACGAGAAATTAATCTTTAGAAGGGTGACAGGCACAACTGCAAATCAGCCAGAAAAAGAGACACCAATCCTGATAGAAAAATGGGCCAAGAGTGTGAGCAAATGACCAGGAAACCCCAAGACTCTGATAGGTACCTGAGAGGATGCTGGACATTCTTGGTAACTGATCAAGGAAGTGCAAATTAAAACACCAGTGAGTCATCCCTTTGGTCTGGCAAAGGTTGGAAGTTGGAAAATGTCAAGTGGAGGTCGGGGATGTGGGGCCCTGGGAACTCTGATTCCCAAGGGCCACTTGGCACGACTTAGTCAAATTCAGTTAGCTGCTGGGTGTGTGTACCTGGACATTCGCTCCCAGTCCCGTAAAGGGACATATAAGGATCCTTCTATGAACTGCAGGCAGCCTGGGTGTCACCCCAAGAGGAGAGTAGCCAGGAAGTCCTGCAAAGCCCCCACAAGCCCAGAACAGGTGTCCATAGAGCAACATGGATAGGTCTTAAAACACATCATGATGACTGATCAAAAAAAAAAAAGAAAAAGAAATGCTATTAATATCTTATGATATAATGCACAATGACACAGAATAATTGTTATACATAAAATTCCAAGGAAAAATGTAATATTTAATATGCAAGCATGTATGATATGTTGTATATAGATAAACATAGTTACATTGTATTGTGTGATTATATTAGCCTAAATATATAATTATGCATTATAAAATTCAAGAATATGGTACAAACTCATATGTTGTATATGACAGTTGTATCAATATATCAGTATTTAAGTATATGACACATACCAACCTATTATACATTTGACATTTTTTAAGAAAAGATTTACTTGTTTATTTTAGAGAGAGAGTGAGCGAGCACAGGGAGGGGCAGAGGGAGAGAGAAACTTTAGCGGACTCCGCACTAAGTACAGAGCCTGACATGGGGCTCCATCTCATGACCCTAAGATCATGACCTGAGCTGAAACCAAGAGCTGGAGGCTTAACTGACTGCACTACTCAGGCGCCCCTATACATTTAACATTTGATGTATAATTTTATTGGACTGCAAGATATTGTTTTATATAACTTAAGAGATACCATTACATGTTAATAATTTTAATATTATCAGTAAGTTACCTGTATCAATAAATTACCATATCATAGGCTCTAAAAGGTTTCCTCGTGACCCCTACCTCCAGCCCCATGTAGGGACTATTCTAAATTAGCCCAAATGACAGATGAGGAAACTGAGGCCCAGAGACACAAAGTTGTATGACTGGCAGGAGGCCCAGGTATGTTTGGTGTCCTGCACTGGGCCTCCAAGCCTCACAGCGGCCTGTTTTAGGGAACTGCAGAGGCCTGTTGTCCAAGCTTCACAGCCATGCTCCCCAGAGCCGGTGGGGGACCCCGGGGAGCCAGTGTGCCTTCAGGCCATGGAGGGCCCTAAGCAAGAAAGCAAGAAGGAGCTGCTTACCCCTCTCAGGTGTCTCCTGTTGACAAAACTCATGGAGCTTATCTGCATAAAGGGGTGGCCCAGCTAGTGGCCTTCAGTGGCTCAGGCAATCCCTGGGGAGAAGGAGGGTTAGAACTCTGGTGGTGGGGCCGGGGGGGGGGGGCAGGGAGGAAGGTGGCCCTTAGGAATTGGGTTTTTGTTATAATTAGATTTTATTATATATCAAGACAATGAAGTGGAATGGGTAAGAACCTTAGCACTGGGTTCAGATCCCTTGCTCAGCCTCTGTGTGACCCCGGGCAAGTCACTCTACCTCACTGTCCTCAGCTTTCCTCATCTGTAAAATGGGCACCATAAATCTACTGATTTCACAAGATTGTTGTGAGAACTACATCATTCATTCCGGTCCTTAAAATTAAACATGGTAAGGACCATGCATTTTTATTTCCTCCTCTAAATAATGTGAATAATAGCAGGATTGTCCTGACAACTAAATGAGATGCAGTAAAAATATCTTTCTTTGGGGACTCAAATACAACAGGCACACAAAAGACGTCTGCTATGGCTATTATTCCTGCCTGAAAAGATATGATGATGATGATGATGATGATGATGATAACGATGATGTAAGCAACACTTAATAATAACATTTACTGAGTGCCTGGGTGGCTCAGTTGGTTAAGCGACTGCCTTCAGCTCAGGTCATGATCCTGGAGTCCCGGGATCGAGTCCCACATCGGGGTCCCTGCTCGGTGGGGAGTCTGCTTCTCCCTCTGACCCTCCCCCCTCTCGTGCTCTCTCTCTCAAATAAATAAATAAAATCTTTAAAAAAAATAACATTTACTATGCATTGGTACTCTTTAAGTGCTGTAAATAAATTATCTCATTTAATCCTTGCAAAGGTCCTATGAGGTAGGTATTATTAATTTCTCCTTACCAGTTGGGGAAACTGAGGCACAGAGCGGGGATGTGACTTGTCCAAGGACACATAGGGAGTGGCAAGCCTGGGATTCAGATCCAGACTATCTGGCTCAGAGTCCTTGCTTTTAATCACTAAGTATGGTGCTTTTTAAATTCGGGAGACCTTGATGTGCATCCCAGCTCCACTGTATGGCATCAAGCACAGGCTTCCCAGCTCAGAGCCTCAGTCTGCTCTCTGAAATGGGCTTCCTTACCCTGGAGGTGCAGAGGGGGCAGCTACCTTCCAGACGCTACCCCTACAACCTCCCACGCCACCTACGCGTACCTCCGGCCAAGGTTTGGGGTTTGAGGGTGGGGCTCCGGTTAGGGGGCGTGGCCTTGGATGTCCTGGCCCAATGGGAACCGGGGGGGGCGGGGACCTCCTTCCACCTCTGTCCAGCACGCGAATCCTCCTCGCAGTTCCATCTACCTCCCGGGTGCCCCAGAGGTCTCCGACCCCAGCCCACCCGCC